CGAGAAGGGCGTGTGTGGGTTTTAGCCATTAGCCACTCAGCGGGGATTAATTTACCACACTAGGCAGGAAAGACTGGACTTAACTAAGGAAATGCAATGTTGGATAGGTGAGAAAGAAGGTTCTAGCTTAAAGAGTGTTGTCTGTTGGGGGTGGAGGTCTTAGGTGGGGTCTTCAGTGCCCCTTGGAAACTAGGTACCATTTCAGCATCAAACGGGGAAAAGGGAAATTAGTCGAAGAGGAGAGGGACATAGAGAAGAAGAGAGAATTGTTTACTTCACAAAACTGTTTAGGGTCAACCTTGTTAAATAACAAGAGTTGCTGAAATGGCTTAAATAAAGCTGTAGTCAAGTCCTGTCTAAAAAATGTTAAGGTTATAAGTCCTAACATATTTTATGTAAAGTGATTATGGATACTAATATAGAAGAAAACTATATATTATGTATTCCATATATTTATATATATTTAGGTATATATATATCTCCCTTTTTGTTTGAAGTTAAAGCTGACAACAGTCAGAATGCATGACTGTCTTGGGGTGCTAATTTCTAGGTTGCAACTGTTTCTAGTGATGTGGGAGGCCGGCATCAAGTCATTGCATGTTTATAAAACTGCTGGTTGGGTTTCCCCTGGAGAGGAAATATTTCATTGGCGCTTTAGTGCAGAACCTGGTAAAGGTAGGTGAAATGTTTTTATAATTGCCACCAGGAAAAAGAGAGAGCCCAGGAGGATTCTTCTGCCCAAGGGAGCTCCTCCCTGGTTATAACCTAATTTGTTGGATGTATGTGGACCAGATGGGTGGAATTAAACCTTCTCAGGTGTTGCGGTTAGATGTTTTAAAATGTCTGGAGATTCCTGGAAATGTGAGAAGTCATATTTCTCTTTCAAAGGACCATCCTCTTGTGATTCAAATGTGGGCTTTTGAAACTGAAACTATAACTCTTGTGGCTATAGGGTGGGGTCTCCTTGTTTTCCTTCTTCCCCTATTGGGCTGTACTATAGGAAGATGGCAAAATTCTTAATTTATGTTTGTGTTTTGGTAAACCTGGCTCTAAGGTAGCTGGATAGGGGACTGGAGGCTAGTTAGTCATTGAAGAAGGCCCTTGCTTTCTATAGATCTTCTACCCTGAACAACTGGCCATCCCAACCTTCTTGTTACAGTCGTTCAGAGCATATATGCATCTGTCTGCCTGTGGTATTGTGAAAATAAGCTACAGAAAAATCTCAGGTGGCTGCCTCAGTAAATTGAAAGCTGGTGGGGCAAAAAAAACCGTATAGGCAAGAGGGAGGTATTATATGTAAGGTAAAAGAATACAAAACATATATCTTAAATGGACTCTGAAATACAAGAAATAAATATAAGTGTCATCTGAAACTGTTCCCTGAAGAAGCCAGACCAAATGCAGTTCCTTATCCATGGTAGGCCCTGAATTGTCTGGAAACTGAACACGCTGCTGTGGTCAAGAAAGTTAAAAAGATAAGCCCCCTCATTCATCCTGGGCAATGAAACAGGACATACCTACACCTGAAACACGATGTGCTTAGCTTGAAGATAAGTCTCATGAAGTTGGAGCCAGTCAAGAGGGGACTAGCTGAAAGATTCAAGATTAGGGTTTCCACATCTCTCCCATAAAAAGCTACTGAAATGGCAGAATTCTGCAGTGTAAACAGTAGAGGGATGATGTTATGGTTGAATTGTGTCCCCCTAAAATTCATATACTAAAACCATAACCCTCAGTACCTCAGAATGTGGCTATATTTGGAGATAGGGCCTTTAAAGAGGTAATTAAATTAAATGGGGTCACTAGGGTGGGTGCTAATCAGTGTGACTGGTATAAGGACTGGTGTCCTTGTAAGAAGAGATTGGGACACAGAGACAGACACCAGACACCTGCGTGCACAGACGACTATGCGAAGTCACAAGGAGAAGATGGTCATCCACAAGCCAAGGCAAGAGGCCTTAGAAGAAACAAACCCTGCCAACACCTTCATCTTGGACTTCCAGCCTCCAGAACCGTGAGAAAATAAATTTCTGTTGTTTAAGCCACCCAGTCTGTGGTATTTTGTTATGGCAGCCCTAGCAAACTAATACAGATGAGAACAGATATGATTAAATGATTTAAAATCATGAAAGGTCAAGAAAAGGATGTGATTATCTCAGGATACCTCTAGGTCAGAGTTTCTTAAAGTATGGTCTGTATACTCTACCTGCATCAGAACCACCTATGACACTTTTTAAAAAGCATGTTCTCAGGCCCCTCTGGACCTAGAGATTTAAAATTTTCTGGTGTGAGGTCCAAGAATCTTTTTTGTAGGCACCACAAGTGATGTTTTGCATGCTGAAGTTTGACACCCACTGTGCAAGGTCTTGCCCAACCTCTGGCCCTTTTCTGGGCATGACTGATTGGTACTAATTACATCTCAGCAAGTGCTGGAGTATCTGAAGCTCTGGCAGATGCTCTGTGATCCAGGAACCGGGTACAGATCACATGGTAGGTTATCTCTCTCCAGGTGTCAGCCAGTGTTTGCCAGTATGTGAGGAATGCTGAATGGGATGGACCTAATGGAATCTTAGGGGAGTTTATTCTTGATTCTTGGAAGAATATATGCTTTACCTGTCTTACCCACTTAACAGTATAATGATATATTTTAAATAATAATCTACAGTACATATATTATTTCTCTCATGAGATTTATTTAAGGATGCTATTGCCTGGCACCTAAATTCTCAGAGGAAATACAAGGAATAGAAAGGTCATATTTAACTTTTCCATTGCTATACATCATTTGATCTTATACAGAAAGATCTCTGACAAGGTCTGTGCCTTTTTATGCCCTGTACAGTTAGAATATAATATTGGTGAAATAGATAAGCAACGTATATAAATAAAAACAAATGAATAATAAATGGAAAGAAATCTAATAAATTATTTCAGCTAGGCTCTGTGCTTTCATATTTCCTCATCACCCAAGGGAATAGAAATAGAATATATTCTTTCACATGTTCGTAAGGCGAGTTTTCTTTTATTCATCTGTGAGCCAAAGAGGAGCTGAAGTTAAGGGTTGAGAGAGAGAGAGAGAGAGAGAGAGAGAGAGAGAGGTCTTTGAGAGTCCAAAACAAACACAGTGATAAACATTTTATAGGCGGAATAAGTAGCATTCTGATTTAAACATGGCAGTTCACTAGGAACACAAAAAAATGCGCACCCCCTACCCCCATTTAAGGGATATAACAAGATTTTATAAGTTTTTGGGTTTGTTTTTTTAAATACTGAAATTTAGGTAGGCCATATGAGAATGTTCAGGTGGGCAGGCCATTGGGCTATTTCTCTATTTTTCTTCTGGTGGTCCAACCTTTGAAACAGAATGCAGCTACAGTACCTCGGGAAAAACCAGGCCTGTCCGGGGTACTTATGGCCACAAAATTTTGAGCAGTTACTCAATGACTGTCACTGCCTACGTGATTTTCCCTCCTTGACTAACTAAATTTCAGTGTCTCTGTGTGGACCGCTCATTCCCACTGGATTCTTTTTGGGGCGGAGGGGGCGAGAGGATGGATGGGGCATCATAATTGTCATTAATGTGCTTCCAGGTGCTTTCCAGGAACAAGAGTTCTGGCACTTAACATGAATTGATTTTAAACTCTAGACCTTAATACTCTTGGGAGATTCAGAAGAAAAGCCATGAGAGCAACTGGGTTTCATTAGGAAAGAAAAGAGGACATTCAGTCTTCAAGGAGACAGCTTTCCAGTTTGGGCAGCGATCGCGTTTGTCAGGAGAGAAAGCCTTAACAATGAAAAGCGGCTGTTTTGGCCAAAAAGCGGCTCTCACTTTGGACCAAATCACTCGTGTGGTGTAAGGATCGGTGCTCATTCCTAGATCTTTCCGAGTGGCCCTCTTCCTCGGTCGCGGGCTGAGCCAAGTCTCGGCCTAGGGGCCTCGATCCGCGGACAGCGGGATCCCTGGCGCCGGCGGCGCCTGCAGCGCAGGCGGCGGGTTGAGCAGGCGGACGACGGCGGCCGCGCCTTCATTAGAGGGCGCTCTGGGGGCGGCTCTGCAGCAGTCCCGACTCCCGCCGCTTCCTCCCCGCCGCCCCTCCCAGTCAGCCCCGGCGAACGCGGCTGGGCCCTGGGGATCGAGTCTCGGCACCACCGTGGACGGGGCGCGAGGCGCGCCGCAGCCGGAGCGGGGCCGGGCCCCGCCGCTCCTCCTTCCGCCTGCCATGCATTCTTCCGGCTCCTCTGGCTCCCGTAGCCCCAGCCGGGGCCGGGCCAGCCCGAGGTAACCCCAGGCTCGGTGGGCTCAGGCCCAGGGGCTGCGGCGGGCTGGGCCCGGGGAGGCGCTGGGGGGCCGGGGAAGGGGTGTCGTAGTCGCGTG